TTTTTATGGAGGAAAAGAGAGCTAAACTATTTAGGAATAAAATTGACCTCGTCCTTAAAGAACTTACACAAAATAAACTACATCCCACTAATAAACGAGGTTAAGGAGGAATTTAAATTATCGGTAGGACCTCAATCCTGGATAGGACGAAAAAATTTGGTAAAAATTTTATTCGTCCCAAAAATACTATATAAATTTCATATGCTACCTATACAGCTTCCAGGAACCTAATTTAACGTAATTACAAAAATGATACCGTGGTATATTTGGAGGAATAAAAAAAACGAGAATAAGTTATGAAGTATTGTGTAGAGATAAAGAGAATGGGGGGGGGGGGGGTTTTAAACATGCCTGACTTTAAAAGATATTATTACTCAGTAATATTATCACGTATTTTTGATTGGATACACAATGCACTAAGAAAAAGTTGCGTGAACATAGAAAACACATTAAGTGGGACACAGTTGAATAAGATAGGCTGGTTGCTGTATCGACACCATAAGTTGGCAGAGAGCACGAGCACTTATACACAAAACGTAATTAGGGTTTGGGATGTGATTTGTAAACAAATGGGGTGGGAATTTAACTCTATGTTGATGCCGTTGGTGGCTTCAGATCTTTTCCCGCCAGGAAAAGAAAATATTTTGGGTAAATGGATAAGAAAAGGGGAAGCACAGTTAAAAGATATAATGAATGAAAAAGAAAAATGCTCCTTTCAGGACCTAAAAAATAAGGAGTTTGTTTTTTATGTTAGATGAGTGGCGATATTTCCAATTAAGGCACTTTGTTGCAATGTTCCCTAAGCCCTTAAGGACAATGGTGGATTTCAGCCCATTTGAACAATTGTCTAGTACAAGTAGGGCACGGAAACCTGGTAATTCTCGAATATATAAAATCCTTACTGTAATAACAGAAGTTAATCCCCCACCGTATATGGCAAAATGGGAAAGGGAACTTGGAATATCACTTGATGAGCAACAGAAAAAGAAAATATTTAGATTGGCACATGGGGCTGTAGATATGAAAGTGGTGGAAATGAACTATAAATGTTTAGCTAGGTGGTACATTACACAGAGTGTGGCACATAAGCAATGAGTAGATAAATCACCTTTGTGTTGGAGGAGATGTTGGATTAAGGGCACAATGGCACATATTTGGTGAGAGTGTCCTAAAATTCAGGAATATTGGTAGGAAATAATTCACCAAATACAGGAGAAAACTGGGATTAAACAGATCATAGTAGACAAATAAAAGAATTCGGTGACATTCCATCTTATAAATGTGGCGAAGGGACTTATACCTAAATATTGGCAGGAACAAGGAGGTACCGAAAATAAAAGGACTGGATAAATAGGGTGGATTATGTGTAAAGGATGGAGGAACCATATGGAAAAAGATAAAATGGAGAGGTTTCGAGAAAGGTGGGAAAAATGCTATGCGTGTAGAGGATCAAATAGAAGAGACAGAGAAGAAGGAGAAGAGAGAAGGGAAAAAAGAGATAGTGAGAAAGGAAGAAGAAGGGAGTCCCAAGTGTATGTAGAAGTGAAGAGGAACAGGGAGCTCGAGAAAAAGAACTTGAGGTAGAGGGGGATAAGGGGGGGGGGAATGTTTAAAGGAAAATGTTTTTGTTATAGAATAATATGATATTTTATTAATTTTTATTTCAACTTTACATCAATAAATTACTTAATAAAAAAACAAAAAAAAAACAAAAAGACTATCCTGAAGCCTTACAAAAGTCACAGAGTTAGAGGCAGAGGAATAGCGTTCAGGAGAGGAACGTTTTGGCCAAAAAACACTAAAACGTTGCATGGGCATGTGACAAAGCATTGGACTCTGCCAACAGAGCTAAGTAGGACTAAGATGAAGTAGACCCAATAATCATAGGATAACCGGATTTCAGATTATAAACATCCATGCTATCAAAGGGCACAAAGTCCCTGGAACAGTTAATGGAATGAAAACTGGGGTCACGCACTGCAGCAGGTCTAACCCGGTGCATTTATATACAGACATATTGTGACCATATGGCAGTGATAAATCTAAGTTCAGGGTATGAGAGGTAAAGCCTCAGGTAGTCAAAAAACCCAGACAGAGACATCAATTCAATCTTTTTACGACCCAATGGAATCTTACTAGTTTTAGACAAGTCTACTTAATATCGATTTGTCTTCGGCTATTTCTTGACATGAATCTGTACCTGTTTTCCTACTTTGTATAGCTGTATTGTATACAATGCAACTGACATGACTGGATGTCTATCCCTGTCATGTGTTGGTCTATGAATTCATAAAAAAACCCAAAAAAAACCAAAACAAAAAAAAAACCACACAGACAGCTAAAAGCAAGTGAGGGTCAGAGGGCTTGGAGCTGACCAGTCAATGTAGTAGAAACTAAGCAGAGATCGGAGTCGCACATGGCTCTCTGCAAAGCAGGGGCAGTAGCAGGGTGTGTCGCTCTCAGTGCTCAACCTCCCTGGCCTACTCACAGTGTGAGTCTTCAGAGACACGGCAAGAACACAGAAAATGCCAGTGACCCGAGTCTGGAAAGCACCTTATTTGGAACCTGGTACCCGAAGGTCACTTCTAGGCTAGCCCTGCATCTTCAGTCTCTCTTGAGGTTTGACCATGAGAAGGCCAATCTGGATAGGGACTATTGTGAAAACGAGCAAATAAAAAATGGCTAGTATAAAATATTTAAACTTTTTACAACAGAAATGATCAGAAGACATTCATCCCCCTAGGACACTAGTAAAATATTAAGGCATGCTGGGAATAGGAGGGGTTATCCTGGGCTGGCCTACAGATTTTTGTGTTTGCCAATGATTAATCTACCTGTAGGTGGCAGTATAGCTTAACAACACATGACTTCTTTTGTCCCTCAATAGCCAAGAAAAAAAAAACACATTACATTAGCTACAGGTGAAACTCAAAAAATTAGAATATTGTGCAAAAGTTAATTTATTTCAGTAATGCAACTTAAAAGGTGAAACTAAGATATGAGATAGACTCATTACATGCAAAGCAAGATAGTTCAAGCCGTGATTTGTCATAATTGTGATGAATATGGCTTACAGCTCATGAAAACCCCAAATCCACAATCTCAGAGAATTAGAATATTGTGAAAAGGTGCAATATTCTAGGCTCAAAGTGTCCCACTCTAATCAGCTAATTAAGCCATAACACCTGCAAAGGGTTCCTGAGCCTTTAAATGGTCTCTCAGTCTGGTTCAGTAGGAATCACAATCATGGGAAAGACTGCTGACCTGACAGTTGTGCAGAAAACCATCATTGGCACCCTCCATTAGGAGGGAAAGCCTCAAAAGGTAATTGCAAAAGAAGTTGGATGTATCAAAGCACATTAATAGAAAGTTATGTGGAAGGGAAAAGTGTGGAAGAAAAAAGGTGCACAAGCAGCAGGGATGACCACAGCCTGGAGAGGATTGTCAGGAAAAGGCCATTCAAAAGTGTTGGGGACTTTCACAAGGAGTGGACTGAGGCTGGAGTCAGTGCATCAAGAGCCACCACACACAGACGGATCCTGGACATGGGCTTCAAATGTCGTATTCCTCTTGTCAAGCCGCTCCTGAACAACAAACATCAGAAGCGTCTTACCTGGGCTAAAGAAAAACAGACACACACACACACTGCAAGATGCTTGAAGCCCAGTGTGAAGTTTCCACAGTCTGTGTTGATTTGGGGAGCCATGTCATCTGCTGGTGTTGGTCTACTGTGCTTCATTAAGTCCAGGGTCAACGCAGCCATCTACCAGGAGATTTTGAAGCATTTCATGCTTCCTTCCGCAGACGAGCTTTATGGGGATGCCGACTTAATTTTCCAGCAGGACTTGGCACCTGTCCCCACTGCCAAAAGCACCAAAACCTGGTTCAATGACCGTGGGATTACTGTGCTTGATTGGCCAGCAAACTCGCCTGACCTGAACCCCATAGAAAATCTATGGGGCATTGCCAAGAGAAAGATGAGACACATGAGACCGAACAATGCAGAAGAGCTGAAGGCCGCTATTGAAGCATCCTGGTCTTCCATAACACCTCAGCAGTGCCACAGGCTGATAGCTTCCATGCCACACTGCATTGAGGCAGTAATTGCTGCAAAAGAGGCCCAAACCAAGTACTGAGTACATATGCATGCTTATTCTTTTCAGAGGTCCGATATTGTTCTATGTACAATCCTTGTTTTACTGATTGTGTGTAATATTCTAATTTTCTGAGATTGTGGATTTGGGGTTTTCATGAGCTGTAAGCCATAATCATCACAATTATGACATATCACGGCATGAATATCTTGCTTTGCATGTAATGAGTCTCATATTATTAATTTCACCTTTTAAGTTGCATTACTGAAATAAATGAACTTTTGCATGATATTCTAATTTTTCGAGTTTCACCTGTATATTATCTGAGCCAATGATTAGGAATATAATAAATCAGTGAAGAATGTAAATAAACTCCTTTTCAGAGAAGTTTGGTCTCCAACTGTTTACAAATTCATTTAGGTTAACACCTAGAGTCTCGGGAGTGTGGTTTTGAATTTTCGTGCCACATATATATGGCAGCCAATTTATTTTAATGAGCTGCCATAAGTGCATCAAAGAAGCTCATGTATCATTTTGGGTATTGCGCTTCCTGTGTTTTTTGGTTACGCAATTTGATAAAGTGTGGAACACTCAGGTGATAAAGTGTTCTTAAGATTAGAGTTACTTTCATAAAATTTGGGGTAGATGGGTTTCAAATCCACGAACACTCATTTTCTGGATCCAGGAACCAGGGTGTAGCACATTTATTCTAATGGTTTGTTATTATGACTAGGCTTTTGTGCCCATTATAGGCTTTATTACGCCTTAAATAACCTGCTGTAAATAGACTAGCATGACTGTTGTATTTGTTATTGTAGTGCATACATGTATTTAAAATATATAAGGCTATATATATATATATATATATATATAATATATATATAAAAAAAACTTAGTGTAACATACCTCCGATCTCGGTTTCCAGTGACCAGAAGATAAGGAGGGCTATCTTTTAAATTAATACAGGAAAAGTCTCCAGCAGAATTACCCAAGCTTGTGATGCACTGACCAGTCTGCAGGCTGTATACATGAATCTGTGAATGAGCCAAAAAGATATGTCAAAATACTGAAAATCATGCTTTAACGTTCAAGATCAGTATGTATACAATAATTGAAAATTGGTTATAAATGCCAATGAATTAGCCTGAATATCTAAAGCAGTCTACCATCAAAGCTGCTTCGTGAGACAGACTGATTTTACTCAGTATAATTAAGACTACCTAGAGATGCAACAAAAAAAGTTTATGATACATGAATAATAGATGTTTAAGTTAAAAAGCAGATTGCTACAATCTGATGTCATCTTTGATATCGAGCCAAGGTGGCTATGAGGCCAGTTTGAAGCAGATATAAAATATTGGGTCTGCTAACAATCACAGAATTGCCTTCTTATGCCATCCCAAAGGTGATGAAAAGCAACTATAAACTTATCTAATCTGCCGCACTTAGAGTGCCTCTATGTGCACAACAATAGGTCTCATGAGGGTGATAACGGGTATTGAACAAGTGTAATGTCAGGATATATAATTAACTTAAAAGAAAAAAAAAAAGCCTGGTTTCTAAGCTTACCTGTACTTTATACAGGTCTGTCTACACATTTTATAAAAAACAGAAACAATTCCAGTTAGATCTGACATGGCAAAAAAGAATATAAAAAAAAGCTGCTGGAACTTTATAATAAATGTAATAATAAATGTTATTATTTATTACAGGTAGTTCTATAGTGCCGTCAACTTACGCAGCGGGATATATATATATATTACATTCACATCAGTCTCTAAGCCTCAAGGGGCGTACAGTCTAAGGTCCCTAACTTACATTCACACACTCATACTAGGGCCAATTTAGACAGGATCCAATTAACCTACCAACATGTCTGGAGTGTGGAAGGAAACCGGAGTACCTGGAGGACACCCACACAGACACAGGGAGAACATGCAAACTGCAGGCAGGTGGTGCTGTGGCTGGGATTTGAACCAATGACCTGCCAGGTGGAAGTACTAACCATTTAGCCACTGCGCTGCCACGTGTTCCCCTTTCAGAACCATCATCCACACTTAGTACAGCTGGTGCCTCTTAATCCTGGCTGTGACTAACAGCTGGGCTCTCCACGAATGATTAGTTATCATTCAAATCATCTTAGTTCCTGATCATGTGATCATGATGACAGCTTCTTCCAGACCGGAATCCAATCGAAAATCTGTGGGATGATCCGAAGAGTACTGCACAGGAGATGTCCTCGCAATCTGACATATTTGGAGTATTTTTGCAAGGAAGAGTGGGCAAATATTGCCAAGTCAAGATGTGCCATGCTGACAGCATGAAGTGGTGAAGTGGCAAGAGCCAATTTTGCAAGCCTTGATGACAATATTCTGAATCCAGAGAAGAAAAATGTCCTGTGCCCAAATGACTGCATAGTCCAAAAAGCGTCCTCCCACTCTGTCAAGTGGGGACACACTCTTATTGTGAGGTGGGCTTGTTCCCGGACTTGGAAGTCCAGAACCTATGGCAAAAATGTGAGCTAGGCTCGAAGTTGGTCCTGAAGGTCTGAGAGAAATTAATCTCTACTTAGTATCAAGATCTGAAGGGCTTGCCTGCAGCAGCTTTTGTCTTCTTCTCATATGGTATGAGGGTACTCTAATCTCCTGTGGACAGCTTAATTTAAGTGTCCAAGGAGTAAAAAAACAGATATCCTTCAAAAAGGTATCCACATGAGGCACTTCTTGCAGGAAAGTTCCGCAGACCTGAACTTGAGCCAAAGAATCCTTTGCAAATGCACCCAAAAGGACAATATCCGCTAACCAAACCCCACAGTAGCATAAGGCTATAAACAAGAACTTCAGCTGATGGAGGACAGATGGATCTGTGAAAATGGCTTCAGGGACCTGAGTTATGTTTCTGAAATAGAGAGACATGGTTGCGATGGAAGCTGCATAGCTAGACCAGCTAGAGAAAACAGTGCCTGTAAAGAAACCTGTAGCCAACTCATCATATTGTACTTAGGTGAGCACCCATGTAGAATCCATGTAGCACTTGAAGCAACATTACAGGACAGCACTGCATCTTCTTCCTGGTGAGGCCCAGGTATGGTACTCAAAAAGCTCAGTCAAGAAGTCAACAAATCCAGAAAGCTCCAAATCCAAAAAACAAAACAAAAAAAACTAGCAACGAAAATCAACAAATAAAAACAAAGGTTTGCTTTTCTAATAGAACAGAGATGTGCATACACCTAACGACACTAGCAAAAAACTGAGGTTTACTAGAAGTGGGAGGGGTTATGCTTGGGCTGTCCTTAAAGCTTTGTTTGCCAGTGCCCAATCACCTGAAGCTAGCTCTACAACCCAATAGTCTAAGACTAAGATCCGTGACCTGTAATGTATAATTAAGTTAATACATCAATGTGATTGATGTAAATCCCTGTTGGCTCACCCCCTCATGCACCAGATAGCCCCAGTTGAAGCGTGTTGGCCCCTGGAATGTATCCCCACTCGGGTCCGGGGTGGTAGCATAGTCGTGGCAGCCATATTTCTGCACCCATCTGTATCCAACTGTTATTTATATGCTGCTGATCTATTATTGAAGTATGGGATGGACTATATAAACAGCATATTGATACTATATTGGTTCTAACTGGATGATGAGATCAATATGCCTAATAATATGACTGCTTCCTAGAAACAGCATACCCCTGCTTTATCCCCTGAAGGAGTTTTTCAGTAAGGTGTTGGGTTTTGTTCTGATGGCTCTACTAAAATCTAAGTAGAATGTTACTATGGTAACATTGTTCTACTTTGGTCATAGTGAAATATGAAAACAAAAATCTTAAAAAAAAAGAAAAAAATGTAATAAAAAAATTAAAATAAAAAAAATTACAAAAATTTTTTAAAAATTATATATTTTTTTTTTCATACTGTCACCAGTCAGTGTCCCTGATCACCGCCATGCCAGTTATATGATGATGCTGTACTGCACTGGTGACAGTATGTAAAAAAAAAAAATAGTGAAAATAATTTTTTTCATTTTCCGAAAAATGACAAAAAAATTACAACTTCAAAAAACTCGCAATGCCTCTTATGAAGTACGTCGGACTGTCTACTTTGCAAAAAGGGGTCATTTGGGGGATATCTGTACTGTTCTGACATTCTTAGACCTGAAGAAATTAGATTGGCTGTCAGTACTTCAGGATTGATCAATATTCAGATATATACCATAGTTTGTGAACTCTAACTTTCCTACAAACTAAAAAATACATCCTAATTTGGGTTATTTTCACCAAAGACATGTAGTAGAATACATTTCTGCCTAAATTTATGAAGAACAATTATTTATTTGCAAACTTTTATAACAGAAACAAAGAAAAACATGGGTGTTTTTTTTCAAAATTTTCGGTCTTTTTTTGTTAATTTAGCAAAACATATAAACCCCAGTGGTGATTAAATACCACCAAAAGAAAGCTCTAGTTGTGTGAAAATGATAAAAGTTTAGTTTGGGTACAATGTTGTATGACCGCGCAATTGTCATTCAAAGTGTGAGCGCTGACACCTGAAAAATGGCCTGGGCAGGAAGGGGGTAAAAGTGCCTGGTATGGAAACGGTTAAATCCCTATAACTGATGGCATATGCTTTAAAAACATAGTGAAGCTATGCTCCACACTTACAGCACCGGCCTTATGAATGATCAGAGATGACAACTGCACAGAATTATGTGACAAAAGGGTGCAATCCTGGGCACAGTGAAAAGCCTACCAAGTCTTTCGATGAATTATATAAGGTTCATATTAAAAGGCAGGGCAAGCTTGCTTCCTGATGTTAGTACTGATGCAATAATTCCCTAATGGCATTAACTTTTCATGTCCTATAAAAACCCACTTTAATGCATTGAATGTGTACAGTATATTAGATTTTGAAAAAGGACTATTCTATAATGCGGTTAATTTATAAAGCTCACTGCAAATTAATATCCATAATATTGCCTCACACAAAAATTACTAAGAATAGCCATAAAAGTATCGGAAAGCAAGATGACAACATGAAATGATGATCGATTAACTCACTTAAGAGAGATGTAAAATTTTTAATCACAAGTTATTTCAAACAGTTTTTCCTAAACACGAGATGTGTGTAGATATGGGAAACATCCAATCATAAAGCTCCCTTTCTCTTCAGGGGGCACGGAGTAATTATCCTAAGAGGCGCAACCTGATTGATTTGCAGGGTGATGTCAGCTGGGAAAGCAGTGCCAAGCACCAGTCCCTGCACCTAGCACACTGCAGCCATCTGGATTACTTCATTTCTGTGGCTATGATTCGTTTACACAGTAATTATTATCTTAACCCATTCAGTGTTATTCATTACTGCAGCTATTGTAAAATAGTTTTCTTGGCAACAGGTTTTATCTGTCCTACCTATAAAATGAGAACAAAGGCTATATAAATGATACAGTAGTTGTTGAGGGATGTACATATTAAACAAAACAATAATAGTAGGGGTGCTAAATATGACCATACATCAGTAATCTTAATTGATGTTATTTTCATTGCCCAAGATGTTCATAAAAACGACAATGAACTGCAACTGTCTGTGTTCGCATTGGCTATTCTGTCATAAATGGTACCTATACAGACTATAGCCTATATACAAAAAAAATATCATTAAATATCCTAGGAATCTAAATCAGAGTGTCCTAAAGCAAATATGGACTTTCTACATGAATACAGGACTTGGCCACTCCTCTGGGTCCCTATTTGTCAGTGAGGAAGCCTATTATATTGATGGGCAGCCATGATGGGTGAGAAATAGGGCCATGCACAGACTTCAAGCTGATATTTGTATATTAAAGCACCCAGGGGCTTTAGGTTTCTTGGGTGCTTCAGGATATAACAGAGGATAGCAGTGCTTGCACTGACCTTCTACTGTTAGTTTGCAATGGAGAGGATTAACATGTTTGCTACAACTAACACTATAGAAAAAAAAAAAGTGCGCATGGGTAAAAACCGCTGCCAGGATTTTTGCAATCTGTGTTTTATTGGGGATTGGATTGGACAGGACATAAGAGGAAATGTGTCCAAAGTGGGGAAAATCCCCCTTTAGCCAGTTGTGCTTGCCATTCACCTTCTTGCTCATGTGTAAAGGGGTGCTCAGCAAATGCAGGCACACCATGCAAAATCCAATGTAGAAAGAAGCTAGCACACCAAGGTCTAGCTAAAGACTTACCTTATTGCCATTATTAGAGAACCAGCCATAACTTTTGACTCCAAATGCTGCTTTATCAAGAGAAACATCTAAGCTGGTAACTGTGTGGCCATATGTAGAGTGCAGTATCTGTTCGGGGACCTCAGGCTTTAAGAGATATACTATTTCTTCAGCAGCAGCAACAGCAACAGGACATCCTTCAGTGTTATGAATCAAATGGAGAAAATTCACCTGAAAAAAAACCCCGAAAAAAACAAAAAAAGATATAGATATTAGTGCAAATATAAACCATTTATAATCAGAAGATCTGTTGAATTGATGACTGGTGTAATTAAACGGTCTGAGATAACTGAGCTTTGCTTGTGTCAGATCAGCCTCTTTTCCCATACAAGTCAATGACAAACCAAAAGCAGCTTTAAGCAGGTTGAATACAGTTTAGGAGGTAAAATGAAGGTTCAAAAGAGGTCATCTACAGGTCAAATGCATCTACATCAATGAACACTAAATCTCATAAGTGTCTCAAACTGATGCACAAATGCAAGTAGAATGCACCTAAAATAATGTAGCATTTACCCAATAACACAAGCCCTTCTGTGTACACAAATGTAAAATTAGAATATTTGCATATAATCATGAAAAAAATGCATACCGTATTTGCCGGCGTATAAGACGACTGGGCGTATAAGACTACCCCCCTACTTTTCCTGCTAAAATTTAGTGTTTGAGCTATACTCGCCATATAAGACTACCCCTCTTCCAATGCACACCAGTGGGAGGAATAGTGCCCCATCATTGGTATCAGTGGGAGGAATAGTGTCCCATCATTGGTATCAGTGGGAGGAATAGTGCCCCATCATTGGTATTAGTGGAAGGAATAGTGCCCCATCATTGGTATTAGTGGGAGGAATAGTGCCCCATCATTGGTGTCAGTGGGAGGAATGGTGTCCCAACATTGGTGTCAGTGGGAGGAATGGTGTCCCATCATTGGTGTCAGTGGGGGGGGGGGGGGAATAGTGCCCCATCGTTGGTGTCAGTGGGGGGGGAGGAATAGTGCCCCATCGTTGGTGTCAGTGGGGGGGAGGAATAGTGCCCCATCGTTGGTGTCAGTGGGGGGGAGGAATAGTGCCCCATCGTTGGTGTCAGTGGGGGGGAGGAATAGTGCCCCATCGTTGGTGTCAGTGGGGGGGAGGAATAGTGCCCCATCGTTGGTGTCAGTGGGGGGGAGGAATAGTGCCCCATCGTTGGTGTCAGTGGGGGGGAGGAATAGTGCCCCATCGTTGGTGTCAGTGGGAGGAATAGTGCCCCATCGTTGGTGTCAGTGGGAGGAATAGTGCCCCATCGTTGGTATCAGTGGGAGGAATAGTGCTCCATCGTTGGTATCAGTGGGAGGAATAGTGCTCCATCATTGGTATCAGTGACACCAATGATGGGGCACTATTCCTCCCACTGACACTTGCTGACCCTGTTCTCGTATGGTGCTGCTGCAGCCAGCATATGTGCTTGCAGCAGCACCTCTACACTGACCACTTACCTGCTGGTCCTGCACTCGATTTTCGCGGGGCCGCTCGGCTCCACCCCCTCGCCGGTGATTGGCCGCCTGTGTGCCTTTCCTGAGCTACAGTTCTGGCGGCCAATCACTGGTGAGGAGGCGGCGCCGAGCAGCCGCACGAACATCCAGTGGCCGAACTGAAGGCGCAGCCGCGCTTCCTGGACCGGATCGTCTTGGGACCGGAACCAGGTAAGAAACAGCCGCTGCCCACCCCTGTACTTAGTGTCCCTTCCATTGGGGGAAGGGGGGGGGGGGGGGGCGGCGGCAACGCGTCGCCCCCCCTAAAAAGTGTCAGTATGCCGTATACCGGCGTATAAGACGACCCCCGACTTTTGAGAAGATTTTCAAGGGGTAAAAAGTCGTCTTATACGCCGGCAAATACGGTAAATTTTTTTTTATTATAAACACTATTTACTGGGATTAAATGAGCAATACAATAGAAAAAAACATCCAACAAACCACAAAATAGAAATATCAATTGGCTTGTACAGACAGCTATTATGATGGAGTACAATGTATATAGTTTCAATCCAGCAATAAAAACAGAGTACAAGTATATGGTGCTCTACCTGTGGGAAAAAAAAATACTATAACCAAGCATAACAGTCTGACACTTATATTGATATCAATGCAATAAGCCCACACCTCCCATTTATGATGAAAGATATGCAAGGTATCCATGATGGTGTGGTGGATTATTTCCATCAATATAATGCAGTGTTTCTCAGCCAGGGTTCCACAGCGATATACCTGTCAGTCTAGGCATCTGACAAGTAGATTGCATGGACACATGCAGAGATGGGCAGGGAAGAGGCTGCCATACTACTGGCTGTAGCGTACTGTTCCCTGCCGGCCCCTCCTCCCCATCCTGGGTGCTTGTATGTGACATCTGGGATGGACAGGATAGGAGGAAGGGCCAGCGGGGAACAGGACGCCACTGAATGCTGAAAGCCGCCTCTGAAGCCGGGTAGAAGGAAGCCAGCACAGTAGTGTGCCCAACTGTGTCTCACATACTGTGCCAAACAGTCTGTCCCATACAATCTGCCCTGTCCCATGTAATGTGCTCTGTGACCTGTCCTATGTACTGTGTTTTGTGCCCTGTCCCATGCTACGTGCATTGTGCCCTTTTCCACGTAATGTGTCCTGCTTCCACACAACGTGTCCTGCTTCCACACAACGTGTCCTGCTTCCACACAACGTGTCCCTGCTTCCACACAACGTGCCCTGCTTCCACACAACGTGCCCTGCTTCCACACAACGTGCCCTGCTTCCACACAACGTGCCCTGCTTCCACACAACGTGCCCTGCTTCCACACAACGTGCCCTGCTTCCACACAACGTGCCCTGCTTCCACACAACGTGCCCTGCTTTCACACAACGTGCCCTGCTTTCACACACGTGCCCTGCTTCCACACAACGTGTCCTGCTTCCACACAACGTGTCCTGCTTCCACACAAGAAGCCCTGCTTCCACACAAGAAGCCCTGCTTCCACACAAGGTGTCCTGCTTCCACACAACGTGTCCTGCTTCCACACAACGTGCCCTGCTTCCACACAACGTGCCCTGCTTCCACACAAAGTGCCCTGCTTCCACACAACGTGCCCTGCTTCCACACAACGTGCCCTGCTTCCACACAACGTGCCCTGCTTCCACACAACGTGCCCTGCTTCCACACAACGTGTCCTGCTTCCACACAAGAAGCCCTGCTTCCACACAACGTGTCCTGCTTCCACACAACGTGTCCTGCTTCCACACAAGGTGCCCTGCTTCCACACAAGGTGCCCTGCTTCCACACAACGTGCCCTGCTTCCACACAACGTGCCCTGCTTCCACACAACGTGCCCTGCTTCCACACAACGTGCCCTGCTTCCACACAACGTGCCCTGCTTCCACACAACGTGCCCTGCTTCCACACAACGTGCCCTGCTTCTCCCTAATGTAGTTTGTCCACTAGTGTTATACAATGGGTGTGGACCAGTTTTTGGTAAGGAAGTGGCAAGTCTGGGAATGGTGCAAAAAAATAGGCACATCGGTAAGTTCGAAGTTAATTGTGCTCCTGTGATCTGAGGTATCTTGGTGGCTTCCTTTAGCCAAACCTATTTAAGTGCCTTACAAAAAGTATGGAGAAACATACCTCTCTCTGGGCAGCCCCTAAAACAGGTCTCAGGGACATTCGGATATAACCTGTGAAGTTTTACAGGAACCAGATATCGATTGAGTAGTTTCAAAGTGAAAGGGTACTTGTGTCGGGGAAGTATGTCATTGTGCTATTTGGGCAAGTCTGGCCACTAAATAATAGTGCCAAAGGCTAGTTAAACCTAGCCCACCTTTCGACTGAGGTCTATACATCAAGGACTTACCAAAGTAGGGTGTCTTATTATGCCAAATAAACTTATTCACTGCAGATTAAATCAGTTCAATTGTCTGGCAGGAAACTTAAATGGGTAAGGCCCTAAAGTAGTGCAACAACTTAGGTGTGATGGACATTTTAATTGCGGTTACTGTGACGATACAGGATAGGTGGACCATAACTGCAACCATTGTTTAATGCGGGAGAAAACCTGGGGATAGTTTGCACTGTACATATAGCGCAAGGAAGGGGCCAAGATAATTCCCAAATATGAGAAATTGCCATCACTCAATGTGAAGCCAAAATCTTCCTTAACATTAGAGATCATAGATGCTTAGGTTGTTTGGGAAAAGTACAGTTTAATTTTAGTGAGTGCTAATTTTGAGTTGCTAATGCTTTACGATCACAAAAAAAACAATGTAATAACAGCACCAACATTTAATGATGAAAGTAGCCTTTTTATTCAAATTGTCAGAGTGTGGAGTGTATCTTTTTTTAATCAATCAACTCATAGACTTGCATTGTGAGGAGTAGTAGTAAAGCAGACCCACTGTAAAACACTGCAGTTGGTACAACATGAATGTGTAATGAACATATATGACTATATAGAATTACAAATTAAACATACTGTATAAACATTTTTTAAAACCTTAGCCAACACAAAAAATATTTTTTCAAGCTGATCTAAAATAAAATTAAAAAGACCATTCATACACTTTAAAATGTACTGTGTGTAAATATACAATATATATGAATAAGGCTTCCGTCCCTTTGGGGTTAATACAACTCACCAGCTTTTGGGTCTGAAAACTGCAGAAACTTCGCCAGTACCCTTTATCATCAGGCCTTTCCACTTTTATTTCAAAACTAGATGCTGTTGCTATAGTAGCGGTTTCTGGGCACAGGTCTAGTGCCTGGATTTTTTGGTTGTGCTGATAGTGATGGATAGGTTCCCGACCAACCTGAAGACACCAAACATCAATGGAGCCTGGGAAAACACAACACAGTTCTGTAAAAAGCCAGTACAGTATACCATTATGGAGAGTTAAACACATGAACAGAAACAAATGTTAAAAAAAAAAAAAAAAAAAAAAAAAAAAAACAAAACAAAAAATTATTATAGATCATCCGCCAAAACACCTTCTTGGTCATACATTTTTGCTGGCTGCACAAGCTTTCTGAAAGGGAACCCTTGTAAACCTGAGGTAGTTGGTCAAACTAGCTTTTATACAGCGCTATTGGTTTTGTTGATTAAAAACGTTTATTTATTAAAAAACATTTCCACAATGCCCCCATTGTTAGGTTTATACCCTTGCACCAGGACAAAAACGCATGTTACATCATAAGCATAGGGATGACACGGATCTGGCTCTAGGCTCTCTCACTGCCACCTTCTCTTGTGTTAACCACTTCTGGTGTTGCTGTGTGGGATGACATCCCTTCCTGCTATGGCCCGATGTGGCATTTCGTCTTCCTGACGTTCAAGAATAAATAAAAAGTTCTTAATAAAGAAAAGACCTTCTTAATAAATAAAAGGGTTTTAAAAGGCTCACACAACATGTCGGGAGAGATGGAGGGAGACTACCATAGTGTGAAATCTTTAAAAGAAAAGAGTGCAGCTGGCCCAAAAAGGAGAAGGCTGATGGTGGTTATCCATAATACTAAGCGCTGTATGACTCACCTGTGATGGATAGTCATATAAATCTGGTGAGTGGTCAGTGTTTATGGTGGAGGATTTAGGAAACACTATGGCACGGATTGTTGGAAATAGAGCACTTTTTTGAGCATGGACACTTTAATAAGTTTGAATATATTGTGCATATACAATACTGTGAATAACTGAAAACACTTGGACACTTTATTGAAGCACAAAAGGACACTTTATTGAATAATGTTTAATTTTTATTTCAGGATATGAGCATTGTAGAGAATATGCTTATTTATTGCACATGTTTAAACACCTTCCTGCCCGGCCTATAGCAGACTGACGGCCGGGCAGGACACTCCTCGTGACTGGGCATCATAGGATGTCCTGTCAAAACAAGCTGCTCCCGCGGCTGCAGGGCTGCGCAGCGGTGCGATCTGTCACTGGCTGTGTCCACGGGACACAGCTGACATATTACTACAATGGCCCGTTGCCAGTGTCATGTGACCAATCACAGCAGATCACATGTCAATTGTATACAATGGATGGCTTCCTGTCATGCCATCCATTGTATACAATTAGGTTGTTAGATGTGACTGGTCAAAGCAGTCACATGATACATACAGGGCTAATCACAGCCCATCTGTATCATGTGATGAGCTTTGCCCAATCACAGCTAATCACAACAAAAGACTGAATGAATCAGTTTCATTCAGTAACAATGATTGCAAATATCAATGAAATACATTGGGATTACCAATCATAATGTGTTAAAAAAAAAAAAAAAAAAATCCTGATCACTTGCCCAGAGTAGTTCAATGTTACTGTGGTAACCTTGCATTGCTTTGGCCACAGTGTGTTGAAAAAAAAAGGAAAAAAAAAAGAAGGAAAAAATAATGCAATAAAAAAAAAAAAAAATTAAAACTATTATTTTTTTTATTTATTTTTTTTTACATACTGTCACCAGTCTCTGATCACCGCCACACCAGTTACATAATAACGCTGTACATCCAGCACAGGTGATAATATGTAGAAAAAAGTTTTTTTCACATTTTACAAAAAAAATTACAACCTCCAAAAAACTCACCATGCCTCTTACTAAGTACCTTGATCTGTCTAGTTTCCAAAAATGGGTGATTTGGGGGGTATTTGTACTATCCTGGCATTTTTGGGCCTCAAGAAATGAGATGGGCTGTCAGTACATCAGGATTGATCAATTGTCAGATAGAGATTATATATATATATATATATATATATATATATATATATATATATACATACACACACACATATACACACACACACACACACACATATATATATATATATATATATATATATATATATATATATATATACACATATACACACACATACATATACATATACATACACACACACACATTCATTCACACACACATACATATATATACACGCACACAGTTGTGTTCAAAATAATAGCAGTCAGACATCACTAACCTGATCAATCACTGTTTTTGGTAGAAATGATATTTCTACATGGCAAATAATTTACTAGCAGGTGTAGTAGAGTAATAGAAATCCAACAGACCCAACAGTCATGACATGCATGCTGCTGATTCTGTGTAATTGAATCACTAATTGAAAGGGGCATGTTCAAAATAATAGCAGTGTGGAGTTCTATTAATGAGGTCATTCATTCTTTGAAAAACTGGTGGCAATTATTGCCCTTATTTAAGGAAGGAAGGCAGCAAATGTTGTACATGCTGGTTACAGTGCATTTCTCTCTGAAATTCTGAGGAAAATGGGTCGTTCCAGACATTGTTCAGAAAAACAGCGTACCTTTATTAAAAAGTTGATTGGAGAGGGGAAAACATATAAAGTGCAGAAAATGATGGGCTGCTCAGCTAAAATGATCGCAAATGCTTTAAAATGGAAAACCAAAACCTGAAAGACGTGGAAGAAAGCTAAAAACTACCATTCGAATGGATAGAATAGCCAAAATGGCAAGGACTCAGCCAACAATCAGCTCCAGGAAGATCAAAGAAGGTCTGTTACAATTAGAAGATGCCTATGTGAAGCCAAGCTATCTGCAAGAAGCCCCCGCAAAGTCCCCCTGTTGAAAAAAAAAATATGTGCTGAAGAGGTTACAAACTTGCCAAAGAGCACATTGACTGGCCTAAAGAGAAATGGCGCAACATTTTGTGGACTGATGAAAGTAAGATTGTCCTTTTTGGGTCTAGTGGCCGGAGACAGTTTGTCAGACGACCCCCAAACACTGAATTCAAGCCACAGTACACTGTGAAGACAGTGAAGCATGGTTGCGCAAGCATCATGATATGGGGATGTTTCTCATACTATGGTTTTGGGCCTATTTATCGCATACCAGGGGATCATGGATCAGTTTGAATACATCAGAATACTTGAAGAGGTTATGTTGCCTTATGCTGAAGAGGAAATGCCCTTGAAATGGGTGTTCCAACAAGACAACGACCCCAAACACACCAGTAAACGTGCAACATCTTGGTTCCAGACCAACAAGATTGATGTTATGGAGTGGCCAGCCCAATCTCCGGATCTTAATCCAATAGAAAACTTGTGGGGTGACATCAAAAATGCAGTTTCTGAGGCAAAACCAAGAAATAGAGAAGAACTGTGGAATGTAGTCCAATCATCCTGGGCTGGAATACCTGTTCACAGGTGCCAGAGGTTGGTTGACTCCATGCAACACAGATGTACAGCAGTTCTCAGAAACAGTGCTTATACAACTAAATATTCATTAAGTGATTCAAAGGAAAGCAAAATCTTCAAACATTTTTCAGTTTATATAGCGAATGTTTGAATTTGTAAAAAAGAATACAAACACTGCTATTTTTTTGAACAGTCAAATATTCACTTTTCTTCAATTTTTTTTTAGAGGAACAACACAAATTCAATATATTTTTCTTCATGTTTTGATTTGGAATAGAATGTGTCGTGTTCCCAATGTATTTGTGTGTATGGAAATAAAAGCTATTAGAAGAATTTTGAGCTTTATTCACTTTTTTCAACACACTGCTATTATTTTGAACACAACTGTACACCTTGATTTGTGGACTCTATAACTTTCCTACAGACTAAATAATATACACTCATTTGGGGTATTTTCACCTAAGAAATGTAGCAGAATACATTTTGACCTAAATTTATAAAGAAATTTTATTTTTTGCAAAATTTTATAACTGAAACAAGGAATTTTTTTTTTTAATTTATAGCGCAAACAATGAAAAATGCACAGGTGATCAAATGCCACTGAAAGAAAGCTCTATTTGTGTGGAAAAAAAGGACATAAATTTAATATGGGTGCAGTGTTGCATGACCGCACAATTGTCAGCTAAAGTAATGAAGCGCCGTATTGCAAAAAATGGCCTGGTCAGGAAGGGGGATAAATCCTCTGGAGGGCAAATGGTTAAGGGCTGTGTCATTTCTGTAAACACCCTCCTCAGGGACCAGAAAAAATGGTTGCCTATGCAGCTCTCAATTTTTCATGAAGTGACCCAGCCATGCTAAGCACCTTAATCACACGTGCCATCACTTTGAGGCCAGTGACTAAGACTTATGTTATGTTGTACTGGACTGCCAGAACCACAGACTATGCAAAACCTTGTTAAAGGGTAACTTTACCCTTAAAAAAAAAATTAATATAAAAGGCACTTTTAGAAATGTTTAGTAATTGCAATCTACATATGTAAAGAATTCACTGCCGAGTCAACTGAATCCCAGTAAGGATCACTGCAAGTTTGTTGACACAGAGGTTTATTTTTTAAAAAGTGGAGAGTGCAAAATCAGACTCACTTCTGCATAGAAACCAATCAGCTTCCAGGTTTCATTGCCAAAGCTTCACTGAACAAGCTGAGATTAGAAGCTGATTGGTTTCTATGCAGAAGGGAGTCTGATTTTGGACTCTCCAGCTTTAGTAAATAAACCCCATATTGTTGTTTTATGAGCTGTAAAGTGTGCTATGCATTGCATATCTGTGACCTTCCACCTTCCCAGGAAGGATATGCATACATGCAGTATTACTTTTTATTTCCACCATACTGAGTGTATGGCCCCACCTGGGGAGCCAGCATGTCAGTTTAAACCAAATATCAGTGTCCCTTGTTGACACTCATCAGATGCATCCTGCTCATTAATGACATCAATAATTATAGGGAAAAAAAGTATACTAAATCTTATATTTTTCATGATTATATATATATTACATATTTTATTGAATTCATATTGACATTATAATACTATTATAATATATTATAATATTTCTATAAAAAACTATTATAATATTCATAATATTAGTAAAATCACATATTAAATTATTTCCATAT